GAGAAGAAAGGAGAGGGAGAGAGAGATAGAAACATCAATGATGAGAGGGAATCATTGATCGGCTGCCTCCTGCACACCCGCTACTGGGAATTGAGCCCGCAACCCAGGCATGTGACCTTGACCGGAATCGAACCCGGGATCCTTCAGTCTGCAGGCCGATGCTCTATTCACTGAGCCAAACTGTCTAGGGCAGAAATTTTTATTTTATTTTTTCAGAAAAAAAAAAGACAGTTAAGCAAAAAACATGTCATTGTAAGTGTACCATTTACTCGTCTTAACCTTTGTCCTTGGTCCAGTTAGTGAAGGGGCGTGTGCGTGTCACTTCTTCCATCGGAGAAAAACAGGGAATTCCAAGAAACAAGGACTTTTCAGGAAACATCATCACACCACAAACCCCGTCCCCCTGTGCTGCCTCTGAGCACTGGGGGTGTGTTTATCCTCCTGTAATTCCTAGGAAGTGTCAGAGGAAGTTCATGTCACAGGAGAAAGACATCCGGTCACAGGTAACATGTATGAAACACTCTACACGTCTGCGTGTAACCCTGTCTCCGGTCACGCAGCAGTGAGCGTCGTCCTTTTAACAGGCCCCCGGGCATCATGCTTAACACGCAGCTGTGGCGAGACAGCCTTGTTTACCATTGTCCACCAGTTACTGGTCCTTTGCCCTCTGCTCTTTGCCCTCTGCCCTCTCCCAGCTAAAGAGTTAGAGACGTGGGCAGTGGAGAGGGGACGGGCGGCTCACTGCCCGGGCCAGGTGGTAGGTAGGTGGTCCCGGGGAGCTTTCTGGACAGTATTCTGGAAAAGGAACTAGTCCAGGGGTGGGCAACCTTTTTGTGAGTGCGTGCCCAAACCAGCAATATCTCTGACTCAAAATGCTGCGTGCCAACCCTAATTTTTTGAGAACATGTTACGCCTACTTGATATCTCTTAAGGTGTACGTATGTGAAGAACCTTGAAGAAATAATAAAATGCATTCGAGCAACAAAAACACAGTCGATGATGATGAAAAATACATTTGTTTTTTAATGTATACATGTACACTGATAGTCCGACAGAAAACTTTATTATGACTCCGTTTGATATTATCAGTGGGACTTTTGCTGCTGCATCACTGATGACAGATTTTACATCAGGTTTATATTTCGTGACCTTCAGAGATATGCACGAGCTACTTTCATCCGTCAGGCTACTCCTATGACAAGACTTAACAAAATTCATCACTGAGAACAAAGATTCACAATTGTAAATGGAAGATTATAAGAGAGGGTTTCGCGTGCCAGCAAAAGTTACTGGCGGGCCCTGTTTGGCACGCGTGCCAGGGGTTGCCCACCCCTGAACTAGTCCCATTCGGTGACGCGTTTGGTGGGACCGCAGATCGGAGTTGGGGAGCTGGGTTCTGACTTCGCTGACTGCCTTCACTGGGAAGCATAAAGCTTCCCAAAGCCATTTGCTCTGTCGGGGGTGCTCCGTCCTGGCTTCCGCTGCCGGGGCAGACGCTGCCCTTGGGGACTTGTCCGGCTCTCCGTGGCCATGATGGCGAGGGCAGAGAGCAACAGCAATGCCCGTGTCCTCTCTTCCCTCTTCAGGGAGAGGAGAGCACAGGTCCCAGGAGTCCGTGCGCCCTCGGCCTCCTGCTCACCTGTCCACACCCGGCACATTCTCCAAGTTTCTTCCAACTTTAAAAAATGAAAATAGAGCCCGGCCGGTGTGCTCAGTGGCTGAGCATCAACCTCTGAGCCAGGAGGTCATGGTTCGATTCCCGGTCAGGGCACACGCCCGGGTTGCAGGCTCGATCCCCTGTAGGGGGCGCGCAGGAGGCAGCCGATCCATGATCCTCTCTCATCATTGCTGTTTCTATCCCTCCCTCTGCCTTCCTCTCTGAAATCAATTAAGATGTATTTTTAAATAAATAAACGAAATTTTAGAAAACATGCCTCCTTCAATCCTGGACCCTTTCTCATAACGGGCTCCCCCTTACTTCTGGCCAGTATTCCTGAGAAGATGGTCTGGTCCCACCGGCCACCCTCACCTCCTGTTCTAGCTTTGACTCCCTGGGACCGGCTTCTGCCCCCTCACTGGACTGAAGCTTCACCTTCTAAGATCCCCAGTAACCTGCTAACTATTACGTAACGTCCAGATGCTTCCAGACTTCCCCACAGCCTCCCACCTGTCCTCTGTCTTCCTCCTGCTGTCCACCTCGCCCCGGACACCATCCAGCACAGCTCTGCTCTGAGAGGGGAAGATGGGCCCCAGGCTGCCTCCCTCCCTGTATCCCCCTCCCCCTCCGTGGCCAGCTCTGCTTCACTGCTCGGTGGCGATCTCAGTGCCTCCGGAGTCCAGATCCTCTTGGCAGAGCGTCGCGCTCCAGCTCAGCAACTTCAACACGGAGCTCCCTGGTTTCTGCCAGCCCTGCCCTGCCCTGCACCTTCCCGTCTGCTGAGTGGCTCCAGCTTTGTCGCCTCACCTCGGCCTCCAGGCCAGAGCACCGGGCGGGCTCTCATGCCCCCACACCTTCGTCCCTGCGAATTCCTTCTTCCTCGAGACTTTCTCAGTGGCATTTCCTAGGCCACCCGGGTGGGGAAGGAGGTGGCAGGACCGGCTCCGAGGGACCTCGAGAGCCTGGGGTTGGGAGAGAGGGCATCTCCGAGGTCAGATTCAGCGACCAGCGGCTTCGCTGGGTTCTAAACCTCAGTCAGCTGGTTCCATTCAGATGCACCTTGTAACTGGCCCCTCCGCGGAGGATCACTGGCGTCTAGGCAAGCGGTCTCCAATGAAAGGCCGTCCTCAGTGACTAGTCCCAGAACGTGGGAAAGTCTAAATCAGACCCAGCACCAGCCGTGTCCCCCGCGTGCTGCTCCCTCTCTCAGGATACTGAGGCATCGCTGAGTGTGCATGTTAAAAATGGAGACGTTAGTCAGGTTCCACGACCACGAACCCTATCAGCACAAGCGCAGCCACGCGCCTCTGCGATGCAGGCCCACCTCCACCCCCGATTCTGCAGGCGGTCCCCAGGCTGAGAGCAGCGCAGTCCCTCCGTGCAGTCCCCGACACGGCGGGAGCAGTGACACAATGTGCTGGTTACTCGTCTTGTAACCAGTGTGTGTTCCCACAAGCCAGGCCGGGGGGGGGGGGGGGGGGGGGGGGGGGGGACCCGGCCAGAGCTCGCCAACGTCCTAGTTGGTTCTTAGCTTCTCTCTTTCTCTCTCTCTCTCTCTCTAATTTTTTTTTTTTTTTTAATTTCAGAGAGGAAGGGAGAGGGAGAGATAGAAACAGCAACCATGAGAGAATCATCGATCGGCTGCCTCTTCCACGCCCCACACTGGGGATCGAGCCCGAAACCCGGCCACGTGCCCTGACCAAGAATCACACTGTGACCTCCTGGTTCGGAGGTCAAAGCTCAGCCACTGGGCCACGCTGGGCGGTTCTCGGCGTCTTCAGAAGACCCCAGAGTGGTGCCAGGTTCCGCGAGCCAGCCGAGCGCCCCGTCCTTTACCCAGACCTCCTCCTGCACCCTCCGCTCCACCTTCCCAAGAGCGAAGGGGAGAGCCCGCGGGCAGATGCAGGTCTGCTGCTCTGAGGATTTCGCTTTTGCCTAAAGAGCTTCTCCAGATGCAAAGCTGGAACTGGAGGGTCCCCATAAGCGGGGAGGGGGGCCTCCAGGTGCCAGCAGTGACACCCCTCCCACCCCCTACAGCCCAGGAAGAAATCCAATGGGTCGGGTTTTTTAAATCGCTTCCATTTCACTTAGAATTGAGGTTCACCAGGTCCCAAGGGACACGTGACTTTTCTTCCCACCCGGTTTTCTCTGGCCGGTGAGTCAGGCCTGGGCCAGTTAGAGCCCGGTGCGCGTGCGGGTGGTGGGAGATGCCGTCTAGTGTGAACCTGTTTCACTGGGTCTTAAGCAAACTGAGAGGCAAAGCCAAGGGGAGCTGGCCGTTTCGTTGCCTTTGTTACCCCAGAGCTGATGGGGCAGGAGGGCATTGACAGCAAAGGGGAAGGAGCCGGTGGGGACGCGGCCTGAACGCAGGCATGGGTGTGTTTGCCAAGGTCAGAATAGGCTCTATTTTCACCTGTGTCGTCAGGGTAGACCAGCAGAGTCAGGTATAAACTGCCCCCTGCTGGCAGACACAGAGAAGTGCACAAAAATGCCCACCTCTTTAAAAAGTCATATTCTGGCCTGGCCGGTGTGGCTCAGTGGTTGAGCATTGACCTATGAACCAGGAGATCACGGTTGGATTCCCAGTCAGGGCACATGCCCGGGTTTCGGGCTTGGTCCCCAGTGTGGGGTGTGCAGGAGGCAGCCCACCCATGATTCTCATCATTGATGTTTCTCTCTCTCCCTCTCCCTTCCTCTCTGAAATCACTAAAAATATGTGTTTTTTACAAACGTGCTCTCTTGGGGACTTGGAGAGCTGCCTTCATTATTCCTATGACAGCCTCACTCCTGCAGGTGTGGGCCTGGGCAGTCTCTCCGGAGAGCTTATGAGGAATGCAGACTCTCAGGCCCCACCCTGGGTCCCGGAATCAGTCTACACGTCAGCAGGATCCCCGGGGGATTCATGATCCACGTGCACATTTACACGTGAGAGCCCTGAGCATGACTTCAGAAGGAACTCTGACCCAGGGGACGGTGCGCTGTGCCCTCGGGTTCGGGTCAAATTCAGTTCACTTTGAGCAGTGAGTGGACACCACCGAAGGGCAAGGAGAGTTTGACCCCCGACCGCTTTATGCCCTTATTTTCTTACTCCTCTCGCTGCACATGTCCTCGGACGTCACTCGCCCTTTCACCTGCTGTGTCTCGATGGCCTGCGGTATTGCAGCAGCAGCGTCTGTCCCCGGGGGGATGGGGAGGCAGGGGTTCTGCCTCCGGCATCCTCTGTGTCCCTCTCCCGTCCTGAGGCCCTGCTGGTGCCATCTGCGTTGGCCAGGAGCGGTGGGCCGCGGGGGGAGCTGCCGGGCACTGCCCATCCGTCTAACCACGGTGTTCTTTCCCGTGCCAGGTCAGGGAAGAGTGCCGGCTCCTGAACGCCCCGCCGGTTCCGCCCCGAAGCGCCAAGCCTCTGTCCACCAGCCCCTCCGTCCCGCCTCGCGCAGCCAGGCCCCGGCCGCAGACTCGCTCTCCCAGCCCCACCCTGTCCTACTACTCGTCAGGGCTGCACGACATGTAAGTTCACACCAGGGCCACTCTGGCAGGCTCTGCCCCGGCCGGGTCGGGGGTCCCGAGAGTCGTGTGGAGGGAGCCCCCCCCCCCAGGCAGGTGGCGGAGAGGAGACGTACTTGTTGGTCCTGAGCTAGGATGAGAGCCAGTGTCCCAGGAGGAAGGAGCCCGAGCCTGAGGAACTCAGAGATAAAGGCCGACTGGGTTCTCTTAGAAGCAGTCCAGCCCGGCCAGCATGGCTCAGTGGTTGAGCATTGACCTATGAACCAGGAGGTCACAGTTCCATTCCCAGTCAGGGCACATGCCCGGGTTGCAGGCTCAATCCCAGTGTGGGGCGTGCAGGAGGCAGCTGATCAATGATTCTCTCTCATTGATCAGCAGCAGCAATCCGTGGGCTGCCCTCAGCCCTCAGCCCTCAGCTCTCACAAACCAGCACGAGTCCCTTCCACTTGGCGCCATGAGCAACCAGGCTGCACCTTTGGGACTCAGCCGTGGCAGGGTCCCTGGCTCGCTCTCCTCGGGGTCCCCCAGGCAGGATGAGCCCTTCTGGGCCATCGCTGCCAGGTGTCCTTCCGTCCCATCTGCACCCCCCCTGCTCTGAGCGCCTTCTCTCGCAAGACAGCTCTTGTCACCGTGGGCAAATGCCAACCCTATCCTTAGGAACCTTTCACGTCAAGTTTGCCATCTATCTCCACGTAACTTCCAGGCACTTATGTCTAGAAAATAGAGGGGCCCCCGCTTCTCTTTGGGAGCCCGTGAAGGTGTGGAGTCGGCCGGGGTGTGAGTCTTCTCAGGTCCCCTGGCGCCACCGCCGGTGCCCCCCGAGCACATGCTGGCTCAGCCCCCTTGCGCTATGGCCCAGAGCCGAGCACACTTGCACGATTCCCCCCGCCCCGCCCCCGGTCCTCACGGGTTTAGGTAGCTCGTCTTTGTAGGTATTGTTTGTTCTGCAGGCGTTAGGCTCTTCATGCTAATGTGACTCGATAGCGCAGGAGCCAGGCCAGCACCAGCACTGCGTCCGGAGCGTTTCCTCCGCCTCAAGCTCTTGGGTGGACAGAGAGTCGTGGGTGGTGGTGGTGGCGATGTGGTCGTGTCCCAGGCGCAGGATGGCAAGCACCAGGCACCATCTGCCTCCCCGGCCTGGCTGCTGCGGGCGCCACCAATCAATCCAGCCCCTGCTGGTGATAAGCCCAAGCATGGCTGAACGATGTTTCTCATCAGAAAGATCTAGGCCCCCACCAATAATGTGTTTCTTGTTAGTTAAATATGTGTGTATACATATACGTGCCATCTCCCCTGTAGCATTTTAAGTCATGTTCATATCCATAATTACCAATATATGTTAGTAACTTCAAGATTCTCTTTTTAGTTTTTTAAAGTATATTTTTATTGATTTCAGAGAGGAAGGGAGAGAGAAACATCAATGATGAGAATCATTGGTGGGCTGCCTCCTGCTCGCCCCCTACTGGAAAGATCCTTTTTAAAAAAAAAAAAAAAACTCCCTGAGGTTCACAGGTACTTATGGAATTCACTAGAGGCCCGGTGCACGACATTCGTGCACTGGGGGGCCTGGGGGTCCCTCAGCCCAACCTGCACCCTCTCCAATCTGGGAGCCCTCAGGGGAGCCCTCTCCAATCCGGGAGTTTCTGTCTGTCTTTGCAATCATATGAGCGAATTGTCTGAGACCCCAACTCAGTTTGGTTTGTTGCTCACAGAATAATAGAGGCTTTTTTTTTTTCTTTGCTCCATTGGTGGAGATTTCCTGGAAGTTTTAGGATATCTTCCCTTTAATTTTTCCTGGACACTCTGATTCTACTTATGTCTCTCACCTTTGCTTTCCCTCCATCCCCCACCGCAACAGTAACGTGCTCCAGGCTCACTTTGCTCTAGGCCAGTGGTCGGCAAACTCATCAGTCAACAGAGCCAAATAGCAACAGTACAACGATTGAAATTTCTTTTGAGAGCCAAATTTTTTAAACTTAAACTATATAGGTAGGTACATTGTTATTAACTTAATTAGGGTACTCCTAAGCTGGCCTTTGCTAAAAACGTCCTCAATCTGATTGAGGTACGTTTGCTGGGGTCGACCCCTTTCAACTCTCCCACCCACACTTGTATACTTGTTTCGTCTATCTCCTTTCGTTCATCCTCTCTATATGTCCAAACCATCTCAACACACCTTTCTCAATCCTTGACACTACATCTTCTTTCACTCTACAACATTCCCTAAAATTAACTTAATAAACTTTACTTAAAGTTTTAAGTCAACTTCGCACTGTACGTGCGTGCCCGCACATGGTATTTTGTGGAAGAGCCACACTCAAGGGGCCAAAGAGCCACATGTGGCTTGCGAGCCGCGGTTTGCCGACCATGGCTCTAGTGTCTACTCTAGGAGATCCCACAACACGCCTGCCACCAGAACTACGATTCCCAGCATTCCTGGTGCTCCCCGCACTCTGGGCTTTCGCTTCTGGTCCTGGGGCTGCCACCAGAACTACTATTCCCAGAATTCCTGGTGCTCCCTGCGCTCTTGGTTTTCCCTTCCTGCTCTGTCTCCGTCCCATGGCCTTCCACTCTGCCAAGTCCTCCAAGCTACCACCTCTCCCTCTTTGCTCTCTGTCTGGCGGCTTGGGGAGCCAAGTTCCCCAAGCCGCTCCACTCTCTGCCGGCTCTCCTGCTCTACTCTCTGCCCGGCACCTGTGTATGCAAATTAACCCACCATCTTTTGGGTTAATTTGCATACTCACTCCTGGTTGGCTGGTGAGTGTAGCGGAGGGACAGTCAATTTGCATGTTTCCCTTTCATTATATAGGATGATAAGAAATGGTAGCTACGTTTCTAACTGCATTTTCCTACTCGGCAGCAGCATCTTGGGGAGAAGGAAAGGCTTGTCGTTGACCCTGCTTTTTGGCCGCTAACCTCCCTTTCTGTGTTGGCTTTCAGCAGCGTGACTAAGAGCGACGCCAGCCCTGCCGACAGCGCCCCCGCCTCCTGCTACCCATGCCACCGTGGGAAGCCTGACTCGGTGGACCTGCAGTCCCCGCCGACCAGCCCCTCGGACCCGCTGTCTGCTCGGCTCTCCTGGCCCGGCCATCACTCGGGAGCATCCTCCGAGGGCCATGCCCGCAGCGACTTCCTGCTGGACCCCAGCCGCAGCTACAGCTACCCCAGGCAGAAGACGCCGGGCACGCCCAAGAGACACTGCCCGGCGCCCTTGGACCTGGAGGGCCGCGAGCCCCTGGCCGGCCCCCCCAGCGCGGCCCCTGCAGGATTCGGCGGCAGCAGCTCCGGCTGCCCCAAGTCGGCCAGCTACTCCCTGGGGAGCACAGACGAGAAGCCGCTGGCGGCTGGCACCACCAAGCAGAGCCTGTCGTGCCCCGCTCTGCCCCCCCGGGCCCCCAGGCCGGTGGAAGAGAAAGCCTCCTCCGGAACCCCGCCTTTGCCTCTGAAAATCGACGGTGCTGAGGGGGACCCCACGGCGGGGTCCACGGACCTGGCCGAGGACCAGTACTTCGTGCCGAAGGGCGCGCAGGACATCTTCTCGGTCCCGTACCCCTTCTCCTCGCCGCTCCACCTGCAGCTGGCCCCCCGCTCCTGCGGGGACGGCTCGCCCTGGCAGCCGCCCGCCGACCTGTCGGGACTCTCCATCGAGGAGGTGTCCAAGTCCTTGCGGTTCATCGGGTTGTCGGAAGACGTCATCTCCTTCTTCGTGACCGAAAAGATTGACGGGAATTTGCTCGTGCAGCTGACAGAAGAAATCCTCTCGGAGGATTTCAGACTAAGCAAACTGCAGGTGAAGAAGATCTTGCAGTTCATCAGCGGCTGGAGGCCCAAGATATAGCCCCGCCCCCCGCCGGCATCGCACGGACCGGGAACGCGTGCTCGAGGCGGGGCTGGGACGCGAGCTCATGTTTTCTTTTGCACTAAAAACCTTCTCTGTAAATAGGGGTAAGAGAAGCCCTCACTAGACAGATCACGTTTTTGAACGGTGAACAGGCTATTTTGTACATCAATAAAAACGCTGTACAGAACACTCAGAGGTGCCTTGTACGTCACTCAACACTCAGCAGCTGCTAAACGACAACAGGCGTGTCCCGAGTCGGGGTTCTCACCGCCAAGCAGGGCGATGCGAGGCGGGATGGTATTTATTACAGAATAGCCAAAGCAGAAGAGACCCGAGGATCTCTGAGAAACAAAACAAACCTACAGTTTTGGACAACAGTCCCTTCCTGGGGGGGAGATCTGTGGTAGCGAGCGCTATCCTGTGCCCTGTTGGGGTACTCAGTGCGAACTGTCTTACTCTTGTGCCTGGAATGTTAGTGATATGAAATGACACTGGAATGTGAGGTGCTCGGTGGGGGTCTGTGCATCGAAAGGCATTTCCCAAAAGTCGTGTGTGGATGGAAGACACAGGACGTCCTTAGAAATCGTACACACCGTGACCACGGTCATTCATCCGTAACTGCTGCTAATTTTATTGAGCAGAAGAAGAAAAAAAACAACAACACAGAATAGATCCAATATGTGTGTAAATGTCTACGCAATACATATGTGTATGTTTTAAACCTCATTGTGAGTCTGATGTTTTTGCAGCGGTTCTCAACCTGTGGGTCGCGACCCCTGAAAATACATCCTGCATATCAGATATTTACATGACGATTCCTAACAGTAGCAAAATTGCAGTGATGAAGTAGCCACGAAGATAATTTTATGGTTGGGGGTCACCACAACATGAGGAACTGTATTTAAAGGGTCGCAGCATTAGGAAGGTTGAGAACCACTGGATGTCTGTTCGCTTCCATGTGCCCACTGAGGTTCGGGGCCGCTGGCTGGGTTGACTCTCATAGGAGGCGCGGACAGACGCCCCAGATGTGCTGGGAGCCCGCCCCTCGAAGCCGGCGCTCAGCGGGGCTTCCCACGGAAGGCGTGGGAGAGAGAGCGGGACAGAGCCTGTGCTGGGAGTTCCGTGGGACGTGAAGCCCGCAGGGGGGCTGGGTTTTGCGCCTAATCCTCCCGTGCTGACGTCTAGGGACACGACCATTCTTCTCCGTGCTGACGTCTAGGGACACGACCATTCTTCTCCGGGATGAGGGCCTCCCCCCTGATCTCTGAAAGGGGGGTCTGCAGGGCATTCCTCGGATGTCAGACGCACCACCTGCCGTGACTCGGGGCTACGTCTGTTGCGTAGTTTTTAAAAGTATTGATGAGAGTCCCTGTTTAGTTCCTACACCTCTTCACTCCTCTCTTCCAAAGAAAACACATCATTACTCTGCTTTTATCCCAAGAATGTCAGAACATGATTCTGTCAAATGCTGCCAAATGTGATTAAATATTCCAAACCCTATCGGCCTCCCCTTCACGTTCGGCTTTCTGCAGGAGCATGTGTCTTAGCAAAGCTTCAGCTCTCCGGGCGAGCGTTGCCGCGTAGCCCTGGGGTCTGTCCCGGGTTCCGGAGGCACCCACAGCCTGTGGCTGAGGCGACCTGGCTGCTCCCTCCTCCTGCCACTAAAATTAGTGAAGGCAAGACCCACCCCTCTCCTTCTGCAGACCTGTGCACGTGGCTTTATTTCTTGGCGATCAAGATACTTTTAATCTATCTCATGGTTTCCATTTTACATGCCCTTTAAAAATAACAGTCCAGCCCTAACCGGTTTGGCTCAGTGGATAGAGCGTCGGCCTGCAGTCTCAAGGGTCCCCGGTTCGATTCCGGTCAAGGGCATGTACCTGGGTTGCGGGCACATCCCCTGTAGGGAGTGTGCAGGAGGCAGGTGATCGATGTTTCTAGCTCTCTATCCCTCTCCCTTCCTCTCTGTAAAAAAATCAATAAAATATATTTTTTAAAAAATAAAAATAACAGTCCACGTAGAAGTTTCCAGCACGGCTCCCCCAGGACAGGAGGGGGGTGGGGCCCTGCCGGGTCTTCCCTGGTCGGAAAGCATCCCTCTGTCTGCGGGCAGCCCCCTCAGGAGCACCAGCCTCTGAATCTTCCCTTTACAGGGAAGTTGACGGGGCACCATGGAGAGGGGCGTGTTTTCTTGGACGAATTCATGCCGAATCCATTTGCAAACATGTGGCCCTTGGACACAATCCTCACGTGCAGGGCGAGGAAGAGGGTGGGTTTGGGTTCACTGTGAAGGTTGCCCTGCATAAACAACTGCCTCCTTTTAGCTTTTTTTTTTTTTTTTTTTTTTTTTTTTTTGCAAAAACGTTACAGAAAATAGTTTCTGTTTTTGTCTTGGCGCGTGGACGCTGAGTGTGTGTGGCTGGCCGTACAGAGACCCGAGGGCAGGGCTGTGGCCTGGGGTTTCTGTTTTATGGGATCACAGCGTCCTGAGCATCTGTCGTGTGCCAGGCCGGAGCTGGCTCCACGCTGCAGAAAGGGATTTGCATGGAGATGGCAGTGGCTAGGCTGTGTCTGTGGGGCTGGGGGGCATGAAACCCCCTGGGCAGTGGTTGGACGGAGCGTTCAGTGTGTGCTGTCCCTAGAGAACCCGCAGGGGGCAGAGCTGCAGCCTCGATGGGAGGGGGAGACCAACACCCAGGACAGTGAGCGCCCGGGATGGGCTGGCGGCCGCCTGTACTCGGCTCCCACGGGCACTCTTTCTCCTACGGATCTGGAATTGTGTTAATCGCCGCAAAGACCTTTTCTGGCCTCTCCAAAGCCCCGAGTGCAGGGAATTGCTGTCCCACACCGAGCCGGAGGCGGCCGTGGCCCCGCAGAGCAGGCAGAGCCCGGGGTTGCCACGTGGGGGCAGAGCCGGCGACAGGGCAGCTCGCCCTCCTGGGCTGTGCTTTTGGCAGCGACGAGTGACAGGATAGTCCCACCAGCAGAGCTGCTCCCAACCCTCCTGGTGGAGGCAGAGCGCGCCGGCTGCTCCCCGCAGACAGGGCGGTGGCCAGGCGCCTGGGGGAAAGTGTCGGTCAAAACAGGACCCTTTGCTGGGTCCTGACATTCCCGGCCAAAATCATCACGCCCTCGGAGAGGTAGTCAGCAATAAACCAGCCCACACCGCTAAAGTGTCAAAGGTGGGGCCGGCTCCCGGAGGGACGGAGTGCGGACCCCCACCTTGCAGCAGCCCGACTCCGCAGCCGGCAGAGGCCTGCAGCCCTGTCCCCCCCGGTTGGGCTGCTCAGCCTGGTGAACTGTGAAAGTCACATGTGTGCTCTCACCCCCATGTGCCGTGTAAACGTATGAAGTCTCCACAAGCTGCCCATTCGAGGACACGGCAGTGTTTATTCTTGTCTCGTGGGGAAATACCACAGCAATCGGATGGGAAATGTTAGGGCTGTTTCCAGGCACAGCCATAAGCAGCCTTCGCTGCCATCCCAGACCCCTGCACGTCCCACGGAGATCGGGGTTCATGCGGTAGAGAGGGCCCTTCTCCCCAACACTCGTCACCGCTCGTCAGGCCTCAAGATAGAAGGTGAACATTTCAGAGAACAAACGGGGGAACAGAGCAGCTCTCCGAAGACCCTCGGAGCTGCTCCAAGACGATGTCCACATCCTCCCCCGGAAAACCTCATCCCCATGTTGGACACAGAGACTCGCAGAGACTCAGTTCATCGAATGGATCCCCACTATTTCTCTAGTCCTGTACGCGCATCGGCTGCTGGGCAAGAGGAGGGAGAGGCCCGGAATTCCCTCGATGGGAAGCAGGACTTTCACCCTGTGGGGCTGTGGGATTGTGACTTCCGATGGCCGCTTCCTGTCAAATCACATCGCTTCGTCTTTAAAACGTGGTGTCTTCCAACTTGTCTCCTGTGGAAGCCAGGACCCAGAGGCAAGCGCCGTTTCAGTTAAAACCAGAGATTGTGCTGTGATTGTGCTGCTGTCTCACGCTTAGGCTATGATTTTTGTATGAGCTTATCGATGACAGATTTCCTTTTTTTACAATCTCCTGTAGGGGGGCTCGAATCACTTCTCAGCTACCCGCCTCCTCTCCCATCTTCACGTGACGCTCCACTGAAAATACTGCTTCAGCCCAGCCTAAAAGATTGAACTCAAAAATTGGGGAATTTTTTTTAACTTACATGGAAATGGCCTGTTCTTCTCACAGAATTTCTTGGCGTGGAAACCGGGGCCCGTGGACTACCAGGGCCCAGTCGCATTGCTGTCCAGAGCATTGCCTGATGGGCCCACTGTGTACCTCAAGAGAAACAGGGGACGTTATGTCTGGAAAAATTCATTGTCGATTTCAATGGTTCCGAAATGTCTATAAATAAAGAAATTTTAAAAGTTGCTTTCCTGCGATTGTTCCTCAGGGAGTCAGACCTAGAGGTTCTGTGGTTTTCTAGAACTTCTCTTCCCCATCCTCATTAAGGAGAAGGGAACTTGCCCTCGCTGGTGTGGCTCAGTGGATAGAGCGTCAGCCTGTGGACGGAAGGGTCCCGGGTTCGATTCCGGTCAAGGGCACAGGCCCTGGTTGCTGGCTCGATCCCCAGTGTGGGGCATGCAGGAGGCAGCCGATCAGTGATTCTCTCTCATCATTGATGTTTTCTGACTCTCTCTACCGCTCCTTTCCTCTCTGAAATCAATAACAATATATTTAAAAATAATAATATGATTATTTTTAAAATAAATAAATAAATAAAGGAGAAGGGAACTTGTCTGAAGGGAGTCTTAATGCTGCGAGCCCGTTCTGTCTGAACAGGAGATGAGACCCACGGCATTCAAATACCCCAACGGCACTCACACAGAATGCAATGCCTGTGTGATCGGGAGTTAGAACCGGACACAGATAGATGACCTGGAGAGCTTCAAAAAGGAGTGTCCATGCTTGCACAGGACAAAGAGAGTACACATCCACAGCGCTGGCTTTTTGCTTCTCAGACCTCTGTGCTTCAAGTTACACCTTTATATCGAGCAGAAATGGTGGAGGGTGCTGGAGCAAGGCCTGGGCATGTAGTGGGCTATGGCATCTGGCACCTGTAACACCTGTACGTGTTCCAGAAAAGTTAGCAAGTGGAGGTTGGTTAAGCGCTTTTATTGTACTCCAGCTAGCATCAAGTAGCTCCCCAACATTTATGCCTCAAATTTCTGTCGGTTTTTTTGTTTGTTTTTGTATCGAGCCATTGGAGTGAGGTTCACTAGGGGAGGATGGGCGGACAATGAGATCAGATGTTCTGACCTCCCCAGCTTCACACCAGAAAGTCATGCTGTTCTCTTTTCCCGGACAGGGCACCCCAAGTCATTCACCCCATCTCAGTACCGAAGCCTTGACCCTCTGTCCTGTTTCCCGGGGGTAAAGCCTGTGGCTAAACCGTAGGTGGCCCTGTCCCGGGTTCCAGGGACACGCGCTGGAAGAAACGATAGGGTCCACGAGGTTGTCTGAAACGTCCCAGGATCGGCCTCACGGTCCTGGGAGCTCTCACCCCGTGTACACTAGGACGTATGACTCCCCCAAACGGGACTCTGCAAAGTGAATTTGAGTTTAGAAGTAAGTTGGATTAGAATCAAGGATGTTTGGGACCCTCCATGCCTGAGGTCAGAAAAAGCCAGATCATTGAAAAGAGTGATGCATCCTGGGTAAATTCTTATTTCACGGACTGAAATTTCCCTTCAGCCCCTTC